GGGATGGGTGGAACTTTTATTCGCATAGCCCACCCCTTGTCCGACCCTGTCTCGAATGCCGATTTCGAGCTACAGTGTAAATCTCGTGGCGCCCGAAGTATGGCTCGGTAGGCAATCGCAGACCATTACCCCTCCCCGAGTTTCAGCAGCTTGCCCCTCCTGTGGGCGACACGACTCGGCCTTGACTGTTCCTTGTCTGTTTCGCCGTGGGAACGGCCGGTTTAACAGCGAAAGAGGGTCCTGCGTGTGCTGCGCGCCACAACCTTTCTTTTTTTCGTTTGTGATTTTCTTCCTTAGTCTATAGTGACCCTTGTACACATGTAGTGGCTGCTGTTATGCTCGGAAGATGCTGCAAAGGTCATAAGGTTATCGTCTCTGTCGCTTGGGCTGCACGTCGTGCTCGCGTAGGAGATGCGCATTCCTCATTTTTTCTCTGTGCCGATATCCATGAAGAAAAGCAACGGCAGCACGGTTGAAGATACAGACAACAGACGGTCCGCCATAGTTTTTTGTTTTCTTCCCTTACATGCATGGATGGGTGGTAAAGCATGGTAAGCGTGTTGCTGCCTTACCTTTAGTGTGCTGCGTAGTTGTAATTTGAGCGATAAGGGGTAGATGGCAGGACAATCTTATTTGCGTAGTGAGGTTTGACAACTGGTCGTTCGTTTAACGGTGCGCGTCTATCGCGACGGCAAGCGTATTGAGAAAATAGTTCGTCCGCGGTGCTTCTCGTCATCATTTTCTATTTCGTTGTCACTTCATACTTCATACCACAAGTGATGAAAGAGAGTCTCCACAGTTAGTTCGGAAACGGCAACTATATTTGGTTTGTTGCGTTTGTTGTTGCTGAGCGCACATCGGATGTCGCCGTTCGTTACAGCCTGCGGTGGGCCACAGGGACGAGAGTGAGTGTCTTCGGTTAGGGTTAGGGTTAGGGTTAGGGTCTCGAGAGTTAATTAATGCCTTCTCTACGCTTTCTTCTGTTGGTCTACGTAGTAGTAGCACCTGTCTCTCTCTCGCCTATTATCGCCGTTGGGGTCCCAACAACATCGAACGTCAACCGCAATCGTTTTGCTTCTTGCTGGGTAAGAGGTTACCCGTGTACCCGGCTGCTGTATGTGAGGCGATGGGCGCTGCCTCTTTACTTGAAGCAACGGGGGCATGGCCCCTATACTGTTTGCTGCATGCTGTGCTATGTGACAGCTTCCAGCGGTTCAGAGCGGCGACGGTGGTTTTCGTATGCTCTCTTTTGCCACCTCCCTGAAGCCTGTCGCGTCTGGCTCACTTGTCTTTGTCGTCCCTTCTTTTTTTTCTTATTTTTCTTAACATAGTCTATATTTTATTTTTCAGCTTGCTTTTTGGGGTCCGCCGGTCATCCGCTCACCACCCATTAATTCAGTTTTAAATGTTGTTGTTGTTGTTGTTGTCTTCGCATTCAAAACCGTTCCGATCTCTCTCTACCCAGTACCTTCATATGTCCGTACTGATCCAACACTTGACGCGGTCGATTCCCGTGGTCACAGGCTAACTTACCCTAAAGAGGTACGCTAAAACAAACTGGCCCCGAAAGGTCCGCAAGTCAATAAAAATCAACGACAGATATTCTTTGGAACGGGGTGTTTACTTGCCATATCTATGACTGGGCCCTGCAAGTTTCACAATTAATTTTGAAGCTTTTCTGAAACAGCAGTGTCATCGTTCGATATCCGTTCGGTGAGGAATCAATCGCAAATCATGACCCGTCCCCGAGTTTGAGCAGCTTCCGCCTGCTGTGGCCGGCAAGAGTCGGCCTTCACTGCTGTACCTTGTCTGTTTCGCCATGGGAATGGCCGGTTGATGAACAGCGAAAGAGGGTCCTGCGTGCTGCGCGCCACCACCTTTTTTTTTTTTGCGTTTGTTATTGTGATTTTCTTCCTGAGTGACCGTTGTACACAACATGCGGCTGCTGCTGTACACATACTTGCGGTTGCTGCAGTATATGCTCGGAATGTGCTGAAAAGAAAGGTCGTAAGGTTATCGTCTCTGTTGTTTTGGGCTGCACGCGATGCTCGCGTAGGCGATGCGCGTCTCCCACTTTTTTCCAGTGTCGTTGTCGGCAGCACGGTTAGTTGAAGAGACAAACAACAACAGACGGTCCGCCTTTTTTTGTTTTGCTGCATGCATGGGTGGTATGCATCGGCACGCGTGTTGCTTCCTTGCCTTGAGCCTGCTGCGTAGTCGTAATTTGAGCGATAAGTACGGTAGATGGCAGCACGATCTTATTTACTACGTAGTGAGGTATGATAACCAACAGCTCGTTCGTGCAGCGTTGCGCATCTATGGCGGACGGCAAGCGTATTGCGATAATAGTTCGTCCGTGGTGCTATGTAGTCGTGCTCTTTTTAGTTCTCACTTCCTACAACAAGATAGTCCACAGCTCGTACACGGCGATTGACTATATTTGTTTGTTGTTGTGCTTGTTTGCTGTTGCTGAGCCGACAAAGGGTTATATCGCCGTTCGATACACAACGTGACATCATGTCTGACAGCCTGCGGTGGGCCAGAGGGACGAGAGTGAGTGTCTTCTCGAGAGAGTCAATGCCTTCTCTTCTCGAGAGAGTCAATGCCTTGTCTTCTCTCCGCTCTCTTCTTTTTGTCTACCTCTCTTTCTCTCTCTCTCGCCTTTCGCCGGTAGGGTCCCAACAACATCGAACGTCAACCAACCGCAGTCGTTTCGCTTTTTGCTGAGTAAGAGGCTACCCGTGCATCCGGCTGCTGCATGTGAAGCGATGGGCGTTCTGCCAAGCAATGGACTTGGACCCTTCCTAATATTTGCTGCATATGTAGTGCTATGTGAGAGTTTCCAGCGGTCCGGAGCGAGCGGCGACGGTGCTTTTCTTCTATGCGCTCTTTTGCCTCCTCCCTGAAGCCTGTCGCGTCTGGCTCGTTTGTTCTCGCTTCTTTCTTTCTTTTGTTTTTCATGCTTTGTTTTTTGGGGTCCCCCGGTTCCTGTGTGCTCATCGGGCGTCTTCTTGGTGTCTACCTTGATTGTTACCCGCTGCAAAAATCGAAAGCTTCAGACAGGCAACGCGACGATACTCGTCGAGTTGTCATCGGGTCAAATAATTAACTGCCAAGTTCTTAACGTACGCGAGGTTCCTCACAACAAACAAGCGCTGTAAGGGGAATGACGTTTCGCAAACAAACGCACAACCTGACCGGAGGGTGAGGGATTTCCACACAAACAGCTCTGTTCGGGGGTGTAAAACAAAAATTCAGCGAAAAGATCGTCAGAACAAATATCGTTTGGGCCGCACATCGAAAATCAAACTAAAAAGACTTTTACAGGTTTTTGGCGTAGGAGAACGCCCAGTGACCTAGCTTGATTCTCGTTCAATCCCTTTATTGATTGGGCATGCACACGCGGAGAACGGCGGTGACACGTCAACGTACCCAGAAGATTCGGCGGTTTGGTCAAAACTCGAGCTAACATGCATTCAGGTACACATACACATGCGATTCACAAGAGGGCACCTCTCGAATTGTTTCTGGTTGTCTGTTGCTGTTAAGGCATGCGACGCCGCTCATACATCAAGTCGGTAGGCTCTGGTGCTTTCGAGCAGTGTGGCTGCTTGGCGTGCTGTAGCTATCGGCAACTGAAGCGCAGCGCGCTATCTGCGCTGTGTCACCAAAACCTCTGCGGGAAGTTTGTGTGCTCAATCGGAAAACTTCAAGCGCCGCGATCTCGCGCTACAAGGCCTCAACTGATGTGCGACAGAAAAAATCGACGGGGTTGCTCAAGCTGGTATGATTTCTACAAAAATCTTTGGACGTTTGTATCTCCTAGGGCTAAGCGGGAGAGAGGTCAGTATGGAGTATACAGCAGTCGGTGGGGGTACAAATCAGCAGGTTTGCCAGACATTCTTGTCGACAAACAACAACAAAAAAATGGTTGGAGAAAAAAAACTCCATCACCAGCCATCACGGAGTCCGGGGGACACAGGGGACGGAACTGTTAAGTTTCGCGCGTGACCTGTACCTTTATTCCATGCACCCTTGGTGTGAGCAGTTTATGCTCACCGTAAGTGATGAGAGGTCTATCTACAGAACATCCTTCTGAGCAAGATCAAATGTACTTGAAAGTCTCGTCAGAATGAAACACGTGGGGGCGGCTCGAATACTCCGTCCCCACCCTCAGGTTTAGCGCGCCGGTTGTAACGCATTGGATTTCTTGATGAACTCACATGCCGTGTGATGGGCACGTAGTCCATGTCTCCGCGACAGTGCACACATATGCAAG